TCTTTCCCTTTTTTTTCTTTATCTATGTGTGTATGTACAACGTGTGTGTATTGGCGATTTATCCGGCAACAATCGATTCATATTTGCAATAAACTTTCTCATAATGTTAACATGTCTCGTATAAACTATGCAGTGCCCCAATGCCTATCGAGTAAGGTAAGTACACATAAAATATATGCAATCGGTAAGTAACGTAATAAAATTATGAAGTATATATCGCAAACATCATGGACAAGAGAGAGATAGAGATAGAGATAGATAGAGAAGGGGGGAGAGAGAGAGAGAGAGATGTGGAGAGAAAGAGAGTAATAATTTTTTAAGTGTATATTATATGTCTATACACATTATATAGAGTCTGTATATCCAACTCTATTGCAGATATTCGTCTGTCACACAATGCACTCGGTAAAGATATATATTGCTTATAGATATATATCTGTCTTGAACTGGGGTGTTGAAATGCGAGCGCATTTTGCTACTTATATGATTATTTCATGGATTAAATCATGAAACGCTCTTTGCTAATGCCTCTTTCTTTCTTCTCATTTCAGCGTATCCGACGCGATTTTTGCATCCGATAAAAGTGAAATAACTTAGCATGGGATATACATATATACATACATATATATATATATATATTCTCCCTCCGTTATTGTAAATATTCTTTTTCATCTAGATTAACGGATCTATGGCGATATCGATTCGCACGTTTTTAATTCGATACACTTTCATAGGATATATAATTAACATTTTCACATTTTTCTTCTCTTCTTATTTCTTCTTCCTCTTCTTCTCTAGCTACTGGTATTGCAGAATAGTGCGTGCACTTTACAATGAACAATGTGAATATACATATGTGTATATGGGGATGCTCTGAAACTATCGCGCTTTTATTTCTTCTTGACATAGCATCAATTTGTCATTTGAATGAAGATTTAATTAATCTTCAATTCAAATTATATATTCATGTAATATTACATAATCAAAAATATGCAATAAAATTCAAAACTATTAAAAAATAAGCATTGTTATTTATTTATATCCGAAAAATTAAATTTTTCTAAATTCTGTTCTTGCCATTTGAAATCACTTGATTGATTTCCTGAATATGGAATAATCTTTTTGTATGATGTTTCGATATTTTCATAACCGAAAAAAGGCGATAGTTTCGGTACGTCCTGTGCCCAAACGACGATTAATTATCGTCGCTTTTATCATTTCATTAGTTGCAAGAATTAGCAGAAATTTGAGAAAACGCGGAGCGTATATATATATATATAATCTCGTGTAATCCTTAGCACAATAGAATTCACGGACACTGATTAAGCAATATATCGATAAATATTACATTGAACGCTAATCCCATACTTATCTCTTTCTCAATCCTTAAGTCAAGATTTTCGTTCATCAAAAAAAATTCGAATAACTCAGTGCTATATAGTAAATTCCACAGACATTTAAAAGATTAAAATAAAGTTTGTTAGTTTTAAAATCAATTCAAATAAAAGTAACTACTCGATCTTACTGTGTGTTAAATATAATGTCGGATCGATCAGCTAAAAATTATAATTAATTTTGGCTATTTTAGAGATGGCAGATGATTTTAATAAGATTAGTTCTCTACTTGTCTTTCTTTTCATTGGCATCAAATCAACTAATCGGAATCTAGTGGAGAATTTAATAAAACCGTGCCGATTTCTCAGCGACGCCGGAAGGATTGAGAAAGACGCGTGTATCTCGTGCTCGTTGATTAACTAGATATATTGGATAAAACCTACCTAAATGAAGCGCGGCCGGAAACGGGGCTACGCGCGGAACGTGACATGCATACGACGACACTTAATGCGATTAGAATTATTTTATATGCTAACGCTATATAATTCTTCGATGAGATTCGGTAAGAACCGATGCGCATTTTGGCATTGAATCTTTTGAGTTGCGCTTTTCGCTTCATGATTCAACTTCACTTGGTGTTATCGATTAGCAAGTGGTAGTGGCATCTTGGACCAGTAGGCCTTAAAGACGATACAAACGCGCGCATGTATGTACGTGTAATTGCATATATATGTGTATGATGTGTGCAAAATTTTCGCCCGAGACTGGAAAAGGGAGTGGGAACTCTCCTGACCCTCTCCTAACTCACCTAACCTCACTCCCCGGAGGAAATGCAATAATACTCGCGACATTCTCGCGTCGTCTTCCTCTATTATCAAATACGCATACGTAATCATAATAAAAGTCAGCGCTATCCTAGGCTACTCTAAGTTCACCTCTATCAAGCAATAAAATTATATATGTACCTACTACTCTTATTCTTTTTCTATTAACGACAATGTGTGTAGAAAAATGAGCCTTTCGCGTCTTTGGTTAAACGCGAAGCATTTAGAAAGTAGTCTGGCAGTGTTTTCGTAGATGCTTCGACCTTAGCCTCGGACCAAATTTTGATTTTCAAATTTTTTACCCTCTTTTTTCTACCACTTTCATCTTTGTTCTCTCGTTCGTTTTAGACATGATTTTAGCTGTCAGTTGCAAAGGAATTGAACCAAAGTGACGTTTACACAGGACTCGTGTCGTTGAGCTATAGTTTTTGTTCCGGCGATTTCTAAATGGTACCAACCACGGTTGTCCGGCGAGCTCGACTGAGCTTGACAAGTTGTCGAATTTGAAACTGAACAGTCCTCGCTGCGACCCTGACACGTACATATCTCACACATAAAAAGATGCGTTCAAAAATCCATTTAAAAGAAACTTATCCTTTGGTATCGTCGCTTTTTTGGTTTCATCATCAGACGGCAATCGGTCGTCTCGGTTCGCGCGATAAGTCGGCTTCAATAAAGCTTCGTTTTCCGTGTCTGACATAGACGGACGACCATCATCATCTTCATCATTATCATCATCTCTCTTCTCTTAATGACTTTCAGAGCGCGCGACGCAAGTAACTGCGTAGACAATAGCACAAGAACGGCGTGTTCCTGAAGATGGTATCGTTTAGGTCACTGAGAAATAAACTAGAGCTCTGCTTTCGCAAGACAGCGGCATTAATTCTCGTCACTTTAGTTCACGAATAGATGGTGATTACTTCACGTCCACTACCCCGCACCATCAATACTCTTTCCAAGCCTTCGGTAAGCACTTCGAGGAATTCCATATCTGGTTTCCAGCAGTCAAGAAAATTTAATTAATATATATTCTCTTTTTTATTGTTATCCAAAAATTTACTACTAATGATTAGTTTCTTAAAATCTATTCAGATTGGGCGTTAAGAGAAGATATTCTGGTATTTATTAAATTATATATAACTAATTTGAATTATAATAAAAGCTATAACGATATTATTTTTCTGAATGATATGATATATTTTCAAGATTTTTGAAAAAAAGGATACAGTTAGATTCACGTTCCATCTTAGTGTCCCGTGGCGGTCCAGGAAGATTCAAAATAACCAGCTGAGCTTCGCTACTCATTTTTCGTATTACCTCATTCAACTTCAACGACGTATGCATACGCCTTACATCGCTCTCGTCGCTGTTACAGAATTGTTCGTTAAGAAACAAGTATCAACGCTAAAATTGGAAAAATCATCGTGCAACTCACGGTGTAATCGTGGGTTTCTTAACTTCCGGACTCTGACTCTTGTTCTCTTGCGCATTACACTCCTTCTCCTCCTTCTCTGTATTCTCCTTGTTCTCTACTTTGGGCGAGTCACCGATAACTTTTGTTTCTTCGTCATTATTTTCCTTAGCCTCTTCTTTTTCGTTCGTGTTCTCGGTGACGTCCAATTCTTTATTGTTCAATTCAGTTTCCTGCATCAGTTTCTCCTTCGTGTCATCGGTCACGTTTTGGTTGCCCGGCTCCTGGAATCTCACCTTTGTCGGTATTTTGGCGTCGACGTTGTGGTGGTGGTCCACGATTGCCTGTACCTGTATCACGGCAACGCAAATAAGCAACGCGTGCGATAAGCACTGTGTCCCGAATAGCGGAAGACGAAAGGCGAGACTAATAATCTAGCATCAAAGCGCTATGGCCGCCAAATCAATGCTATCTATGTAAGCTATCGTGCCAATTAAGCCGAAACTGAGGGAAAATTCCTGAGATCATGATGGACAGAAAGAAGCAAACCGTTGCCAGGCGCTAATAAAGAAATAAAAGAAAATATTCAAGAACTTTTTAAAACTAATTTTTAATTTTTAGTTTTTAATTTTGATAATTATAAGTTATTCAAATTTGCAATGTTGATACTCGTTAAGCCTTTTTTGATTTATCTATTTTCGTAAATTTGTTACACTTACAAACTTCATCACATTATAAATTATTTTATCTTCAGAAATCAAAAATTTATTTTTTTCGCAAGCTTTTAATTTTTAAACCATAATGTTCTTACCCAGCAAACACAGAATATAACTGCTATATAACATGGGAATAACATGTAATGTAACAGTTTTGCCGTCAAACAAACGTCAGAAAATGATGTCCCGTGGATGTGACATATCGACGTCATTTTCGGGTCTCATGAGACCTAACTTAGAATGTCTAATTGGTCATTTTGTGACTAAAATTTACTGTTATTGTAACGTCAGTTTGCTTGGGTGGATTATTACATGACTGTAACAATTATATAACATTTTAGTAACATGTTATATTCATGTTATATAACTGCAATTTTGTATGAGTGGGAAATTACAACTAACGTGAATGTTACATGTAACAAATACGTTATATTACTTGTTATATTCCGTTTCATTATGGCAATGTTACAGTTATGTATCTATGTTTGCTGGGTAACTTCATAAATTCAGTATGACTCTGTAACAATCTCCGAAGTGTTTAGTTCGCCATATTTGTAAGATATCAACCATGAAGGAAGAGTAAGGAGAGGTATCTACCTAGATTGAAAGTGGTCACGAAGAATGTTCCGTATGTGGCCAGATGGGTAACTTCATAAATTCAGTATGACTCTGTAACAATCTCCGAAGTGTTTAGTTCGCCATATTTGTAAGATATCAACCATGAAGGAAGAGTAAGGAGAGGTATCTACCTGATCATTGAAAGTGGTCACGAAGAATGTTCCGTATGTGGCCAGGTTTGCCGAATGGAATAACTTGGACCATTTCGTCGCCATCTTGAATCTTCGTATATGTATAGTGTTACGTTTAGTTGTGGTAGTAATTAGTAAGTAGTGTGTCATCCAACACACTTAGTGATCACTAATACAACTAAACATAACACTATATATGTACGAATATTCAAGATGGCGACGAATTGGTCCAAGTCATTCCATTTGGCAAACCTGGCCACATATGGAACATTTTTCGTGACCACTTTTTCTCTCTCTACACTATCGAGATAACTCTCCTTACTCTTCCTTCATGATATCAACTCAATAGCGACCCCGCGACAATTTCTTCTCTCTTATGGCATATTATTTATCATACGTATGATTGTCGAGGAGGAATAAGACTGTTATGTGATATTGTGGAAATAGGAGAAGGGAATACAAAATATAAAATCATCGGTGCAATGGAGCAATGATATGAGGGGAAAGAAAGGCATATATGGAATTCCGAGGGTTATCTGACAAACCAGAGGTAATTTTTCCTCGGCGGGTACCTCGTTGAAGTCCACCAATGACTGCACCTTTATCCGTGACGAGCACGCAACAAACAGACACACACCGATCAGTATCACCATCTTTCACCATGTGTTGTTATTTCAGTATTATATATATATATATATATATATATATATATATATATATATATATATTTATACATATAATATACGTATATACATATATTTATACGTATAATACCATAAGCAGTTTTTCCCCTTTGTTTCACATGCAACACTCACCACTCCTAGCGACTGCTTCTTGTTCAGTTGCAGCTCGCGCAGCATCTGATTCCTTTGCTCCATGATCAGGGTACGTTCGTAAGTGTAGGCAGAGATGTCGGTATTCGTCTATAAATAAGCCAAAATGTGGAATTTTAATTTATGAAAGTAATCGCGCTATCGACAATTTTTCTTCATTAAAATTTTTTGTTGTATTAAAACTTCTCAAAGAATATAATATTTCCCTGTATCTAAATTATATATATTGTAGAAACAAATTACCATTTCGACGATTTCGACTTCTGCTTCAATTCTCAGATCATACAGAAACTTCTTTAGATCTTTCTTCATCTGTATAGAATTATCCTCCATTTGCGCGACCGTGAAGATCCTCATTTTGCAATTTTTCCAGGTGCGATGCTGTTTCAACAAGAACGGTAGCAACATTAGTAGACCGCCATCGTGTACGATCCACCAAACGTCGATATTGCCGATTATCTTTTCGCTGGAGTCTGGGAAAAAGTTTATGCCCTTGGGTACTAGTAACGCCATCTTAGCGGCCGCAACGCTCCGCACGGTTTGCAGAAAGACTCTCCAGGTTCTCTCTTCCTCCGATTGCCGCCAACCGTACGGCCAACCCAGTATCACTGTATTGGGTTTCAATCCGCCTAGCCCGGTGGTTTGTATCAGCGAGCTTAGGCCGTCGACAACATTCTTCGCCACGAGAACGTCGACAAAACCCTTGACCTTTTCTTCTGTTGCAGTCTTCTTCAAGCTCTGTTTGGCCGCCAACGCTTCGCCCGAGTTCTGTGTGTAGTCGCCGGCAATGCAGCTGACACTGATAGTGAGACCTTTGCCGGCCTTAAGCTGACTGGTAAAGGCAAAGAGTTTGCGATACTTGGGCACTAGATCATCAGTGAGTTTGGCGAGGATTAGGATCTGCGGACGCCAGTTCTTTGTGTGCGGCGGGCCCTCCTCGAGTCTGAGCAGCGAGTATCTGGCGGCAGATAACGCCAGACCGCGAATACCGTCGCCCCACTCCTTTTCGGCGCCACGGTATTCAATGTACTTGTAAATACAGCTGGCCATACCCATCGCCAGCAGTGCATAGTACCAACTGGTCATGAACATGATAGCAATGCAGAGCGCCAAACCAAGGAACGATAAACTCCAGTGATAATACTTGAAGCGCGGTCGCCAGTTGGGCGTGCGCAGCAGGGTCTGCAGTGCGCAGGCGAGGTTTACAAAGCCGTAGCACATTAGAAAAAACATGGACAGCAACGGTGCCAGGTAGTCCACGTTGCCCAGCAGGATACCACATTGGCAGATCAACACAGTGAGTATTAGGGCACGAGTAGGCTCGCCTCGACTAGAACTGGTGGCGAACGGTGTCAGGAAAGGAATAATACCGTCCTTAGCGATCGCCTGCAGTAATCGTGGCGCTCCCGTCAATGATTGAAGACCGGCGCCCAAAGTGGACAAGAAAGAACCGATCAGAATCACCCATTGATTCGGCCACGCCATGTTTGCCACTACTAGCTTACCGCCGATACTCTGACCAAATTTGTCGCGTAATAGTAAGTTGTCAACGGTACCGGCGAAGAGTAGGACGCTAGACAGATAGACGGTAGAAGTTGTCAGAATCGCGCAGATTGTGCCAATTGGGATGGATTTCTGGGCATCAGCTAAATCGCCGGATCGATTGGAGCCCGCCATGATGCCTACAGATTAGTATCATTAATTATATATATATATTCATATATAT